CATCTGTAGTAAACACAAAGCCATATGCATCTGTAAAACCTGACTCTAAGAAACCTAAGATATAAAATCCTGAGCAAAGGTCAAAACTAAAGGTGATTATCTGATTTAAAAATTTTAAAACTTATTAGATGAATTTTTAGAGATTTAATTTAAAATGCTGCTGAGAATTTATTTCATTAAACTTTTCTCTTTATGAATATCTGCATACTCTTTTAATGACTATAACTCACAAATATTTCAAACCAACATTTTTACTTCCATGTTACACATGGTGATATTCTGATTCTATCATTCCTTCTTCATCTATTAGTTAGTTCCACTACAAGGAATTCACCTACTCTTTGGTTACTTGGTTCAGTTCAGAGAGGATAAGCAGGAAAAATAGTTGACTCTTTTCCTTTATTTACCAGTTTGCAAAATAATGAGTTGGTTTCTTCAAAGATGGCCAATTAATTTTTTAAGTATTATTATAAACCCATGGATTTAAACATGTGGGTTGTGTTTTTATCCATTGCAGTCACTATGTTTATTCATGCTCAAACGGTTCCACCTCTGGCCTTTCTATTGACTCCTGTGTCCTTTGGAAATGACCTTAACAATCTTTGATAGCTCGTGACTTCCTTGCTTTCTGATTTGATAAGATGTTCCAGGCTCATCTCGTATATTTTCTGCCTCAAATCTGGGAAACTGTGCTTTCAAAAGGTGATAAATCTGCAGTTATTTGGGAAACTCAACTATTCAAAATATTAGCCTCAACACCTAGTCCAATGTTTGGCTCACAGGAAGTAATTGATAAATGTCGGTTGGCTGAATAAATTAATGATTATCACCTTCCTAACATTTTAACTTCCCTTGAGGTCAGAGACCATATACGTGTATTCTTATACCTTCCATCTATCTTCATAACTTCCACTCCCATCCCTGTGCCAACTACAGAGCCTACACAGCGGGTGCTAACAAGTATTTGTTGAGTAGATAAATGTAGAAATGAATAGCAACAATTTGGTGGTACCACTGAGGTCTTAGGCAGGGCAGAATCCTGATATTTGTGGCCTTTTATCACCCTCTGGTGGGGAATGCTGTAAAATCCCCTTACCAGTACTAGTTGCCATTGAGTCCACTCATGGTGACCCCATTTGTGTCAGAGGAGAACTGTGCTCCATAGGATTTTCAATGGCTGATTTTTTTCAGAAGTAGATCATCAGGCCTTTCTTCTGAGGTGCCTCCGGGTGGACTCAGTTAGCAGGGAGCACGTTAACCATTTGCACCACCCACGGACTCCCAAAATCCCCCAGTGCAGTGGTTTTCAAACTACAGGTTCCCATCCATTAGAGTCATAAAATCAATTCAGTGGGTCATGACTAGCATTTTTTTTTAAACTGAATTGAACTGAATAGAAAATATCAGAGTGCCTCATACATAGTAGAGGTAAATACTGTCATGAGACCTGTTTCAGTTATATACTCCACATCTATAGCTATATCTCTATATTTACTCCTATATGTATTCAGTTATATGCTACATACATACTTTCATGTATGTACTGAATCACAACTAAAGGTTTATTGGTAAATGTTTAACAACTAGCTCTCTAGGGGAGAATGTATAAGCATATACATACATATGTTTATTATATATTTTTTCTTGATATAAAGAATGTATAGCACATAACTTACAAATAATGATAAAATGTGCAAATATTCTTTATTATAAATCCATATAGCCACTTGATTTTCACAGACTGGTTTCATTGATTCTCACCAAACTTTTGTATTCATAGCTGTTATGGATTGAACTGTGTCCCCCAAAAATGTGTGTCAACTTGGCTAGGCCATGATTCCCAGTATTGTATGACTGTCTACCATTTTGTCATCTGATGTGATTTTCCTATGTGTTGTAAATCCTACCTCTATGATGTTAACGAGGCAGGATTAGAGGCAGTTACGTTAATGAGGGAGGGCTCAATCTACAAGTGTAGGTTGTATCTTGAGCCAATATCTTTTGAGATATAAAAGAGAGAAGTAAGCAGAGAGGAGAGGAACCTCCTACCACCAAGAAAGCAGAGCCAGGAGCAGGATGCGGCATCCTTTGGACTTGGGGTCCCTGTGCTAAGAAGTTCCTAGACCAGGGGAAGTTTGATGACAAGGACCTTCCTCTGGAGCTGATGCCCTGAATTTGGACTTCTAGCCTCCAAAACTGTGAGAGAATAAATTTCTCTTTGTCAAAGCCATCCACTGGTGGTATTTCTGTTACAGCAGCACTAGATGACTAAGACAATAGCTAAACTATGCTTTCAATTCAACTATGTTTTGACATATGGATTTGCATCCCAATGTAGACAATCAACAAAACAAATTACGCTCTGATTTGTAGCATTTGCCATTTTCCTTCATATAAATACTCCCACCCATAGCTGATTTAAAGCTACCAATATGACATGACTGAATATGGACTTGGGAAGAGAGGCACAGTAGCATACCATTATACTATATAGTGTTTCTATCTTACAGATGCAATGTTGTTGTTGTTAGTTGCCTTTGAGTCCATTCCTACTCATGCTAATCCCATCTGACCCCATGTGTGCAGAGTACAACTGCCCATAGGGTTTTCAAGGCTGTGACCTTTGAGAAGACCTGTCTCCTGAGGTGCCTCTGGGTGGGTTTGAACTGCCAACCTTTCAGCTAGTAGTCGAGTGCTTAACTGTTTGCACCACCCAGGAACTTCCTACAGGTACAATAGACATAAGTAACCCAAAGAGCATAGATAATAATAAAATGTACTAAAATAATTAGGAAATGATCAGTTTTGAGTGTTTATTTTTCATTTGTGAGTTTATAGAATTTAATTTTTAATAATCAGCTTGCAAAATTCCTGAAAATCTAATAATCGGTTCTTGTAGGTCACTATGAGCCGGCTTCAACACACCACTGGGCTCACAACACAAATATATATTTCCTAATATGGGTTGGGAGCCCTGGTGGCACAGTGGTTAAGAACTTGGCTGCTAACCAAAAGGTCAGCAGTTCAAATCCACCAGTTGCTCCTTGGAAACCCTGTGGGGCAGTTCTACTCTGTCCTCTAGGATTGCTATGAGTTGAAATCAACTCAATGGCAATGGGTTTTTTTTTTTTTAGAATATGGGTTGAGGTAAAAATGAAAGTTGAAAACTGATCTAGAGACCTGCAACAATTGGTCCAAGACCCATTGCCGTTGAGTTGATTGTGACTCATACTGTAGAACTGCCCCATAGGGCTTCCAAGGCTCTAAATCTTTACGGAAGCAGACGGCCACATCTTTCTTCCACGGAGCAGTTGGTGGGTTTGAACCACTAGATCTTTTAGTTAGCAGCCGAGCTCTTAACCAGTGCGCCACCAGGGCTCCTTAACAATTAGTCAGCCCCGGGCTTAACCAGTTCTTCAAAAATCTCCAGGAACGAGGCTGTATGGTCTCAAATGAAACAAACTCATATCCTTTCTAAAGAAACATGAATAATACTGAATCTTTCAGAAGATATCTTTGTGATAGTCCCTCTGGGTGATTTCTAGCATTTCTCTTCACCCAGCACCCTTTCCCCTTTTCTTAAGGAGGAGATAGGTATCTGGATTTTCATTGGCGGAACCACCCAGCTAATAAGGAGTGGAGCTGGGACTCGAACCCAGCCTCCCTGCTCTTAACCATTGTGCTGTTTGATATGAAAGCACCTGCCAACCTTCAGGAGATACAGATGGTTTCAGCCTACTGTTTACAAGCTGCCTTCACAAATAAGGAGCCCTGGTGGTGCAGTGGTTAAAGTGCTCAGCTGTTAACCAAAAGGTCAGCAATTTAAACCCACCAGTCTCTCTGTGGGAGAAAGATGTGGCAGTCTGCTTCTGTAAGGATTTACAGCCTTGGAAACCCTATGGGGCAGTTCTACTCTGTCCTATAGGGTCACTAGGAGTTGGAATTGACTCCATGGCAGTGGGTTTGGTTTGTTTTTGGTTTCACAAATAACACTTTTAGTCTGTGTATAATCAGTTCATTATTTATTACGCATAAATCAGGCCAGTGCTTCCCAAAGTGTGGTAGCTATCCCTGGTATAGGGACATGGGATTATTTTAGGAAGTTCAGAGACAACGAATATTTCAATGGAAAATTTTCGTTTTGCAATAGAAAAAATACGACTGGCACATAGAATCCATGATTTCAAGGATGTTTTTGCTTGGGAAGCTAATCGATAGGTATTTAAGTTTTTAAATGTGTGTTGGCTTAAAGAAAAATGTTAATAGTAGTATTTGTGGCATATGTACATAGCAAAAGTAATTAAGGTGGCAAAGGAGTGATTCAAGGCTGGGAAACACTGAATTCGACACCTAGCTGAGACAAGGACTGAGGGGGCTTAACCGCGATAAACTGAGTGACTGAGTCACCAACACCCTCACTGGATCTACGTTAAACTGCATCGTCCAGCATTTTTATTAAAAGAGAAAGTGAATTTAATATTTTATGAATTGATTTTCTAATGAAACCTAGTCTCATGTCCCTATACCTGGACCACCATAATGAACCACCATTCATAGAGCTAACTCTTGGGAAAATCTCCTCTTGTCTCCCCCATTTTACAGATGAGAAAACTAAGGCTCAAATAGAGGAAGCATCTTTGCCAATGTAAAAGGGAAACTAACTGATGATGTAACCACTGCTCCAATTCCTACCTTGTGGCATTCATTTTTCCCCGACCACCAGCAAATATTCCCACAAGCGCTTTCTCCCAGACTAAAGACAGCAGAGGGTGAGATTCGAACCTTCGGCACACAGAGCGCTGTCGCCTGGTGGCAGGCGCTGGGAGAAGCGAGAAGAGGAAAGCTAGGTGTTGGGACAGAAGCGCGTTGCAGTGGCTGCCAAAGACCAGAAGAGGGAGCGCGCGGGCTCTGGACTACAAAAGCTCTGCCAAGGGGTGGGGCCGGCGGCCGGCACGCATGCGCCCGAAGGGAGGCGGGGGGCACCCGACCAGGCGAAGGGCAAGACGGTGGCCGAGAGCTCTTGGGAAGGCGGACGGTGGCCGACAAGGTCGGTCATGGATCATCTGGAGCGCTGCGCGAGGGTCCTCAGGGGGACGCTGGTGCGGGCGGCTGTGCGGCGCTACCTGCCCTGGGCGCTGATGACGTTCATGCTGGCGGGCTCCCTCCTCAAGGAGCTCTCTCCGCTGCCGGAGAGCTACCTCAGCAACAAGCGCAACGTCCTTAACGTGTGAGTCAGCCCCGGGTCGCCCTCTTCTGTCCCCGCCATAGCGGACCCGCTGTCGCGATAAGCGGGCGCGGGGCCTGGCTGAAGTCTGGCTGACGGGGCGACTCGTCCAGTGAAGCTGGCGTTTAGCTTCCCAGATGGACGGGTCATTGGAAGGGGGTAAGCCCTTCTCCCAACCGTGACAGCAGCGTCTCGCACGTGGGTCACGACTAAGGGGCCCCGGAACAGCTAGTGTCACTAGGAATTCGTGTCTGCAGGCCCAGAGTAGCCTGAGCTTGACTGGGCAGAGGGTGACGAGCAGGGTTGTCTGGATGTCTGTGTGTGCATGTAGGGGTGCGTGTCGGGATGGGGTGAGAGGACATATGAACCAGCCTATGTCTCTGTTCCTTTCCCTAAATCCCCATGGAATTAGGAGTCGGTCCTTACCCTGTTTGGGAGATGCTACCGCCCTGCCTGCTTTTGTCAGACCCCGCATCTCCACTCTGTCGATCCCTCCAGCCTGTGACAGTCTCATCATCACCGGTGAAAGACCTACTTTCTCCCCGCATCCCACCTTTGAGAGCCTTGCCCCAGCCTGTGCCAGGACCCCCACTCAAAGATACTCGGCCGAGGAGGCTGGAATCCTCCAGTCTCTGACCTTTCTCCTGGAGTTCCTTGGACCTTCTCAGTCACCCAAAGTGCATGGCAGTGGCCCAGAAAAGCAACCCCCTTTGGGCTCTTTGAGACAGCTCCACCCACTTACTTCTTTTTTTTAAACTCCTGGATTTTTAAGTTTATTGCACAAAACCACTGTTGGCAATAATAAAAGGAAGCACTGAAAGGCAAAACTTATCCCTTGATTCGAGGCCAGAGTTTTGTTCAGAATTAAAGTGTCTGCAGCATTTCTTGAACGTCTGCCCGACTTTGGTTATCTACTTAAAACCCTGGTTTCTCTCCCAGGCAGCTTTGTCAAATGTCAGCTAGATTTTTGTTCTGGCAAGATCCTTGTATGTCAACCCCGGTGAAGATTTTAGTGACAGGCCCTTGAGTGGTATCTGAGAAGACTTTGGATCCTAGGAAAGAGTCATTCTGTCCTTGGCCCGCCTTCCTTCCTCACCTACCCTGCATGGCTGGGCTGAGAACAGACTATGAAAGTGGTAGTGTCCCTAAGTCTCTCACCTGTGTGTGAACCGCAGCTGGTCCCCAGGTCAGCCACCTTTCATGAGCACATGGGGGGCTGACAAGTCAGCTGCTGCTTTATCCTGCCTGGATGGGCTAGGAGCATCCTGGCAAACAAGTCCCTGTTGTTTGAGGGTAGCCATGGATTCTGGCGTTTTGTTCCAAGCCTCTGTGCTAATTAATGAAGGGAACTAGTGAGTCATTGGATCTGGAAGGGACCTTAAAAATAGTTTGGTCCCCTTAGCTCTATTAACAGCTGAGGAAAGTGAGGCTTAGAGAGGTGCAGTACCAAGTTAGATCAGAGTCAGGATTTGAAACTGGGTTGTTGAGCTTGAAGGCAAGCACTTTGTGTGCCAAATCCTTTGGAATGGAGTTGGATGGTTCCCAGACCATGTCTGCCTTTTAGGAAGGAGCCGTGGTGTGGTGGGAAAAGCATGGGCTTTGGGCTGGCCAAACCTTGGTTTAATTTGTGCTTGCTGATTTTGTGAGTGTCACCCTGGACAAGTTACTGAATTTTTCTGAGCCTTAGATTCCTGACCAGTACCGTCCTCCCATGGTAACTGCGTGTTCTATGGGAAAGGGAATGTATGTGAAAGCTCCTGGCATTTGGTAGGTGCTTAATTATTATTACTTTCTTGGACAAATACCATAGTACTTAAGATCACAGACCCTGAATTTGAATCCCAGCTCCACCACTTGCTACTTCTACCGTGGACATGACACCTCTCTTATCTGTAAAACCACTGCCGTTGAGTCGATTCCGACTTAGCGGCCCATAGGACAGGGTAGAACTGCCTCATAGGGTTTCCGAGGCTGTAGTCTTTACAGAAGCAGACTGCCACATCTTTCTCCTGTGGAGCGGCTGATGGGTTTGAAGCACTGACCTTTCGGTTAGCAGCCAAGTGGTTAACCACTGCACCACCAGGACTCCTTTTTATCTGTGAAGTGGGTATAGTAATAGTCCCTACCTCAGAGAGTTGTTTAAGATTAAATAACTAATACAACTAAAGTACTTAGTATGTGAAGCATATAGTAAGCACTCAAAATGTGATGGCTGTCATGATCTATAGCTTTTATCCAGTTTTCCCCTTTTCCCTCTTTTGCGAGTCTAGAGATCTGACTCCTGACATTGTTTCCTCTCTGCCATGTCCCCTCTTTTCACATCCACTTTCTTCCTCTGCCAGGTATTTTGTCAAACTAGCCTGGGCCTGGACCTTCTGTCTCCTCCTGCCTTTCATTGCTCTCACCAACTACCACCTGACAGGCAGGGCTGGGCTGGTCCTGCGGCGGTTGAGCACCCTGCTTGTGGGCACGGCCATCTGGTATGTCTGCACAACCATCTTCTCCAACGTTGAACACTACACGGGTAACTGCTACCATTCGCCAGCCCTGGAAGGGGTCAGGAAGGAGCACCAGGACAAACAGCAGTGCCACGGGGAAGGAGGCTTTTGGCATGGCTTTGACATCTCAGGCCACTCCTTCCTGCTGACCTACTGTGCCCTCATGATTGTGGAGGAGATGGCCGTGCTGCATGAGGTGAAGACGGACCGAAGCCACTGCCTCCATGTCGCCATTACCACCCTGGTCGTGGCCCTGGGCACCCTGACCTTCATTTGGGTGTTGATGTTTCTGTGCACAGCTGTTTATTTTCATGACTTGTCCCAGAAAGTGTTTGGCACCCTGTTTGGTCTGCTGGGCTGGTATGGGACGTATGGATTTTGGTATCTGAAATCCTTTTCCCCAGGACTTCCTCCCCAGACCTCTAGTTTCAGTTTGAAGCGAGACAGTTAAAAGAAATAAAAGAGAAACGAAAGGGGTGGCAGCAGGACAGTGGCTAATATATTTTTCATTTATTTGTCTTAGTTGGCTAAATTATCGCTCCTACTGCAGAGCGGAAGCTTACCAGGCAGTTTTGGTGTGTGGTGGTAGAGTCTGGGGAGCACATTTAGTCCCCAGACTAATCTTGCGACGTTATCCTGTGTCATAAGCACCACCATTCCAGCCAGACACTTTTCGTCCCTGGCAGGACTCGACCTTGGTCTGGAACTCTGCTTTTGTCTCTAAAGGGCAGAGCAGAGGCTCAGCGAAAAGACAGAATCAGGAAAGCTTCCCTTGGGTGGCTGAGGGAGGCCAGGGGCCTCAGGACTCTTACCTGCTGCCATCATCCTGATTCTGGTTGTCTTTTGGTTTTAATGTCTGTTAATGCTGTTATTTAAAAATGTTTCCCTCTGGTCCATTTTGCACAAGCATTTATTTCAGGCAGGGTTGTTTATAAAACTACAAACTCTCTGGTTGTAGTATTTGTTTATCCATGGAATGTTAAATATTGTGACTGGCTTGGGATTAGCTACCAAAACAGGCCTGTTGAACTGGAGTGCCTCTGTGACTTAGTATTGTATGATTTTAATGTCATGAACATTGATGACTTTCTGTCAGTGATTTCTATGAACGTGTGTTGGTTTTTGAAGCAATAAGGTTACTGTTTTTTCTTCCTTTTTGAGTGAATGCTTTCTAGGTTTTAGTAACAACCGTGGCCGTTGTTCTTTGTGGACAAAACTGAGAATAACTCACAATGCCAGTGCTACACGTTGACATGTGTAGATTGTTTTGAGGGTTTTTTTAGAACACTAATTTACTTTTTATAAACCAAAATCTTGGCTTATGGTATTAAATTCCACCTCGCAGGGCTGTTGTCTTTATTAAGAATAAAACAGGAAAGCAGGTGGTTTAATAATAACTTGATAAATTTCAAGCTGAGTCAGAGTAATTTTGCAAAATGCATATTTGCACTGAAATGTTCCTGACCACATATCAGTGGTACAGACTGAAGAGTGCTTCATGGTCCTAAGTACATTGATAGGTCTTCGGTGGCCTATGGCGTTTTTACCTTTTGAGCAAGATTATGATAACTCAGAAGTAAAATAAAATGTCTCCCGTTGCATCAGATGGCAAGAAACCAGCCTGATTGCAGAATGCCCTTATTAAATGGTGGCATGACTTCGGCCCCACCCGCCTCTTACTTGCACCACCAACAAAACCAAACCTGGGCCAAGCCTCTTCAACTGGCCTTGAAACTGACCTTCTCCCCCCCTCTCCCCCTTTGCAGCACTTCTCAATTTCCAACCTTGTCGTTCTGTGGCCTTCTCTCTGAGAGTGCTGGGAAGGGTTAGAAATCCTGCCACCTCCATCCACAAAGGCACAGCTGCACACTCTGTGAGCAGATATTTCTTCTCCCCTCACCCAGGCTGTCCATAAGGTCTCTCAGACTGAGCCATCTTGCATTTTTGAGTAATGGTCCTTGAAGCTGCTTTGATGTCCACCCCCAGCCCGATAATAGCATTAAGTGATTGATAAACACCACACTTAACTGGCTTACTCCAAGCTTAGTTTGTTAGGAGCTTGAGGCCTGGAAATTTTTCAGGGTAAATTTTACTTTATATAAAGATGTATTTAAAATGTGTGGTTTTGTGCTATTGAGCTGCAGGTTAACTTATGTTGATCAGATTGTGAGACATGATGTGTTGTACCCAAAAGTGGGAGAAACATTCGCAGCGAGATATTGGAGGCATCACCATGGTGCTTTGGAAATGTTGGCAAGATGTGATAAGCCCCGCTGAGAGAAATTTTTGCCCTCTGGAGTTTACATCCATAAACCCAGGGTGGTAGGTGCTTATTGAAGGGATCAACATCTCTCCTAAATTTCCTGTTCAGCACCCAACGGCAACAGGCACAGAGCAGTCTGGAAGTTCATTTGCGACACTTAAATCTCCAGGCATTTTCTCATGTGGGTCTGATTCAGGCTCAGCATTAAACTAACTCGGGTGGAAAGTGTCAGTTACAACTCCAGGATCCATGCCTTCTATTCTGATGAGTCTACCACTACTTCTTATTCATCCTTAGCGTCCTTGCATTTTTCTTGGGAGCATGCCCTCAGTCCGTGTGTCACACAGCATGGTATAGGTGAAAGAATTTGGGCTTAGGCAAACGTGAGACCTGGGTTTAAATCTTGGCACCACCGCTTACAGCTGTGTGACTGTGGGCAAGTTATTTAATCTCTCTGAGCCTCATTTTCCTCATTTGTAGAGTGGAGATGATACATTCATGATTAAGGGAAGTGATGCCAGTAAACTGCCCTCTGTGCTTAGCAGGCACCAGTCCCCCATCCTTCTTGTCTAAGCCTTTAGAACTTTTTGGCTCCTCCAGAGAAGGCAGGGGAAACTAACATTCTTCTTTTGGGTGCCATTTGGGGTCTGGTTCTCCTATTGAAATAGTCTCGTACTTTGAAAAGTGTCTGTTGTCCGCAGGTGCTGAACAAGAGGCTTTTGGGAGTAAATCACAGAATATTGCCACCTTTGTTTTGCCTCTCCATGTTGAGGTTCATTCACTGATGCCTCATTTTCCACGTGCATCTGTCATAGTCTGGGTACCAGAATTGTATTTAGAGAATGGCTGTTGCCACTGTTAGATACGCACAGATCATGTGTGTAAACAAGCAAATTAAAGTAAACTAGAGCAATAAATTCCATATTGCAGTGTTTCGTGTGTTCCTTTCTAATACCCTTGAGGAAGACCACTTAACATCGGCTCCCTTTGTGAACATATGCTAATTCTTCAACCACTGGTCATATGAAGGGTGTTTCATCGCTTTTGTTGCTCCTGTCTTCCCCCCTAGATCCTGTAAACTAAGTATTTATTCATTTAAGCAGCCACAGAAGTTCTTTGTTATTTCTTAACTCGACTTATTTTTCTCTCTGTCATATTCGTGTCTTTTACGCCTGAGTTCTAGATCAGCCAGATTTGGGAGCAGTCCTCTTGGCAAAAGGAGAAGAGCTAGGCCTCACAGAAGGGACACTGAAGAACAGTTACAAAGTTCACTGTAACAAGGTCACCTTTGAAAGTGCTTTGTAGCCCTGGAGCCCTGTACACACATGGGGGCCTCTTAACGCCTTCCAGTGCTCACTCATTTGTCAGCCTGACCCACTTGGCACTTCCAGGTAGCGTCTGTCAGAAGCTTTGTGGCTCCAGGTTCAGAATCTCCTCACACTGCAAACTCCCCTATTTAGATTCCTTCAACAGCAGCAAACCCTTCTTGACTCCATACTGTGAGCCAAGAGCTGGGGTAGAATGATAAACTCCCTCTCTTGGTGGAGTTTGTGTCCAAAGTCCATGCCTTCTGAGCCTACAGTGTACGCTGAGGTTGCAGAGATGTATCAATACATCTCTGCAGTGGAGGAATCTTCAGTCTTAACGGAGAAGACACATCAGGGACCAGTAATCCCCGTAATGTGTTGAGTGCTAGGGCAAGGTCAGGGCCTGGGAATATAGAACAGGGAACAAGCAGGGAACATTTCACAAGACAACAATTCTTTTGAAGGATGAGGGAAGAGTACAAGCGTTAAGGCAGTGTGAGAACAACATGTGCAAAGGTGTATAGATGTTACCATGATTTTCATCCAGATACCCTTTACAAGAAATGTGACTTCCCTATCATTTTCTAAAGCAACTGAGATTGACCAAAGGCAGCCTTAAAGAAGGACTGGCAGTGGAGATCCTAGATGAGCCCTGCTACAATATAAAGTGCGCTCAGCTGGGAGAATACCTGGCTTGGAGCTGGGTTCTGCCACTACTGTTTCTGCTTTTCTGTGTGACTTTAAATAAGTCACTCAACCTCTCTGGGTCTCAGTTTCCTCATCTGAAAAAGGATGGGGGTGTATTGGATAATCTCACCAACTCTTCTAATCTTTCCTACTTTTCTCCTCTGTTCTGCCTGATGAAAAATTCTTCCCAAGCTGTTTATGAGTTTTATTTTTAGGAAACAATCCGAGAAGAAACTCCCACTTTGCTGAAGTGGCAGCTGATTTCCTGGCAAGTGAGTGATGGGGGAGTATACTCCTAGGTCCCCTTTATCCCTCCCCTTCTTTTTCTCTGCATGGACACTAATCTAGCTCAGACCTGTTGTGTGGGTTCATGTGGACTTACTGGACATGGGAAGCTGAATCTGGTTCCCTACTGGAAGGATGGCAGGGACCTTAAAAAAAAAAAAAAAAAAATCAAAACTTTTTTTTTATTGTGTTTTAGATGAAAGTTTAAATCAAAACTTTTTTTGTTGTTTTTGTGCTTTAAGATGAAGATTTTACAGAGCAAGTTAGTTTCTCATTAAATAATTCATACACATACTGTTTTGTGACATTGGTTGCCAACCCCATGACGTGTCAACACTCTCCCCTTCTCAACCTTGGTTTCCCTGTTACCAGCTTTCCTGTCCCCTCCTGCCTTCTGTCCTTGCCCATTTAGTCTCGTTTTGTTTTATGGGCCTGTCTAATCTTTGACTGAAGGGTGAACCTCAGGAGTGACTTCAGTACTGAGTTAAAAGGGTGTCCAGGGGCCATACTCTCTGGGTTTTTCAAGTCTCTGTAGACCAGTAAGGCTGGTCTTTTTTTGTGAGTTAGAATTTTGTTCCACATTTATCTCCAGCTCTGTCTAGCATTCTCTATTGTGATCCCTGTCAGAGCAGTCGGTGGTGGTAGCTGGCACCATCTAGTTTTGCTGGACTCAAGTCTGGTGGAGGCTGTGATAGTTGTGGTCCATTAGTCTTTTGGACTAACCTTTCCCTTGTGTCTTTGGTTTTCTTCATTCTGCCTTGCTCCAGACAGGATGGGACCAGTGGAGTATTTTAGATGGCCACTCACAAGCTTTTAAGACCCCAGACGCTACTCACCAAAGTGGAATGTTGAACATTTTCTTTATAAACTTTGTTATGTCAGTTGAGCTAGATGTTCCCTAAGACCACGGTCCCCCCAGCCTTCAGCCCAGTAATTCAGTCCCTCAGGGAGTTTGTTCGTGTCTATGGAGCTTCCATGACCTTGCCTTGGTCAAGTTGTGCTGGCTTCCCCAGTATTGTGTACTGTATTACCCTTCACCAAAGTTACCACTTATCTATTGTCTAGTGTTTTTCCCTCCCTACCCCTCCCCTCCCTGGTAACCATCAAAGATTGTTTCTTTTTGTGTAAATCAAAACATTTTTGATAGCTCTCCAGGAGGAGTTTCTGTTAAAAAAAGCTCTGTGCAATTTGAACACTTGGCAGAAATTGTGCCAAGAGCCCCCAATCCAGGCTCTGGAGAGTTTAAAGTTAAAAACAGCCCAGAAAACAGGCACTCTCATACCGCGGTGGGAGGGTAAACGGGTACCGCCTGTTTAGATGGTAATCTAGCGGTGTCAGCGTTTAAAATGTCTGGACCCAATGATCTCAGTCTAGGGGTTTAGGCTATGGAAATGCTTGTGGAAGTGGGCAAAGGTATAAGGATTTTACAGCACCTGTTTGTAATAGTGAAAAATTGTCAAGAACTCAAATGCCAATTAGTAAATAAGTTATGGTAACTATCTTACAGAACACAGTTCAGTCACTACGAAGAATAAATGACGTTATATCTCGTGTGGATTCTGGAGACAGAAAGACCTGGACTCAAGGCGACCATAACTTAGAGCTATGTGTCCTGCATCTCTCTGAGCCCCGGTCTCTGAAGTGTGAGATGGGGATAACAAGAGTGCATCATCCCATTCACCATCCACTCAGTCAATATTTGAGGAGCACAGAGTGTGTACTGGAGCCCCTATGTGGTGCAGACGATTAATGTGCTCAGCTACTAACCAAAAGGTTCGAGGTTTGAGTCTACCCAGAGGCACCTTGGAAGAAAGGTCTGACAATCTACTTATGAAAAATCAGCCATTGAAAACCCAATGGCGCACAGGTTCTCCTCTGACACATGTGGGGTCAGCATGAGTCAGAATGCACTTGATGGCAACTGAGTGTGCGCTGGGTGCTGTGCTGGGCCCAGGGGGTGCATCGGTGATTCAGAGACGTGGTCCTGCCTTGAGCGAGTTTATAGCCTAGCTGGATACAGGCTGTGAAATGGCAATTCCAAAATAGTGTGCCAAG